TGATTTATAAATAATTGTATTAATAAATTGTATTATCAAACCTGACATTTCAAAAAGTTTTATGAATATTTTGTGGTCGATTCTAACAAAGCTGCCTTAAACATTTTGGGTTTGATATTAATAAATTATACGACAGTAGAGAGATACCGGAAGGCCTTAATTAATCTATCTTCACAGCACTGCCTAAGAAACCAGACGTAAACAAATGCGAGCGCACTCGGACTGTCAAGTCTACGAAGCATAAAGACAAGTGTATCCGGATTCTGGTAAATAGAAAGTGTAGAATAATTGTAACAAAGCTGCCATTAGCCTTAACCATTTATGGGTTCGATAATATTACGGTAATTATAAACGAATTATACGACAGTAGAGAGATACCGGACGGCCTTAATTAATCCTTCTTCACACCACTGCCTAAGAAACCAGACGAAAACAAATGCGAGCGCACTCGGATTATCAAGTTTACGAAGGATAAATACAACCGTATCCGGATTCTGGTAAATAGAAAGCGTAGAAGAATTAGGACGGGGTGTATTCGTTAAAGACACTGGAACAAGAAATGCGATTTTTAGGGCGTGCAGAAAAATAGCAGAAGAACGTATACCTATGATTCGTAGATTATGCAAAAGGGGCTGATAAGACAAAAAACACAAGGATTGATTTGAAAATTGTAGGAAATGTTACTGGTAATAATCAGCCGGCATACGACTGAAACAAGTTTTGAAGAAGTACGTAAAAATACAAAGGTGTATAAAACTAGTATGCTTTTTCTCATTGGATTTATTTAACCTATACATTGAGGGGATATTATGTGCGCTAAAAGATCTGCCGAGATTTAATTCTGTTGATGACAGACACAAGAAAAAACTGGAGGTACTTCGAGACACGGCAGTAAAGGAAAGCGAGAAATGACTACAAATTTGTGCAAATTAATTGGAGAAAAAAAAAAGGATAATTCTGTTATTATTTACTTTTCTTCGTATTCTCCTAATAAAACATGACCCAGTACACATGTTAGCACTTCGTATGTCTATTCCACGTGGTCGTTCATTGCAGATCCTCGATAAGATTTAAATCAGGAGAGTTTTCGGGACAGTCTCTAGTACTTTGATTTGCTCACTGGTAAGGCTTGCCAGTGTGTTCGTGCAGCGTTAAAAATTTTAGTACGCTTCCTTGGAGTAACGTCCATTGCAGACAATAACGCTAGGACAACTAATCGACAGTCGTAACAATAGTGTCTGGGCGTGATGAAAATCTGATGGAATCGCGGATGACGCAATAGTTTTGAAGGCTAAAAAAATCATCATAAAACCCGAGAATTGATTAATATTAGTGCACAACACTGCAAATACCTAATCTGAGGAAAAATAGAAATCGTTTATCCCCTGTCGCTCCAGTGGGTTCAAAACTGACCGTATGTTGGAAGAAAAAGAAACTAAAGTAGTTGTTTCAATTAATTTGCAAAAAGGTGTAAATATCAATTGTATGAAGACAGAATTTATGGTCGTTAGAAAGAACAACCCAGATAAGGAACTAAAACTTGGGACATTAAAATTAAGGAAGAGCAGAAATTCAACCGAGAGGTACTGGAAGAGAAAATGGAAAATTTGGCACTAAAATCCGAAGACGCGTTGCAATATCGAATGATACGTTCCAGAAAATAAGTAGGAAACAATGAAAAATTAGTTGGAAATAAAGATTGCTCAACTGTTATGTGATATCAATCTTCCGATATGGCAGTTTATGCAGGAGAATTTTTTCACAGATAAAGAGTAGAGTTGACACAACGAAGACGTGTTCCTATAGAAGTTGATTGAGAATAACATGGATGAAACATGTGAGCAACGAGGAAGTTATACGGAAATTAGAAAGGAAAATAATTTTGATTACGATCAGAAAGAGACAACTGAAATTTCTGGTATACGTAATGAGGAAAGGGAGCTTGGAGAATTTGGCACTCACAAACCATACTGAAGGCGAAAAGAACAGAATGAGACATTGATTAACATACCTAACAGATTTGTGCTAGTAGATTTGAGAAGATTTTTAAACAATAATTTCAACCCTAGAAAGACCATAATGTCACTAAGTTGCAGGGGGTTACTGCTTATGAGAGAATATAAGAAAAAGAAAGCAGTATATATAGGCAGATAGATAGATAGATATGTGCATGTGTGTGTGCCTGCACGCGTGTGTGTGTGTGTATGTGTGTGTGTGTGACGGACTCTCCTGTCGATGTAGATATATGAGAATCCAACAAGATCATTGAGTAACGCACCGTGATATATATATATATATATATATATATATATATATATATATATATATATATATATATAAATACACACAAACACACACACACACACACACACAAATATATATATATATATATATATATTCGAATTACGAATCTCAAATCAATCTCTCTCTCTCTCTCTCTCTCAGTCAGTCGCGTCAGTCGGAGATTTTACTCCTAAGTCGTTGGCGCATGGCAGGGAAGAAGGTGAATTTAAGCGTATTTATTTTTAGATAAACAAACAGTGACTGAGAGAACTCGATTCGATTTATCAAAGAGGATATATATATATATATATATATATATATATATATATAGAGAGAGAGAGAGAGAGAAAGAATAAGAGAGAGGTAGTGAGAGAAAGAGAGAAGAATAATGGATACGGATCTGATTGAGGAATCAAAAGGCCGTATTCGAATTCTAGTCTAATTCATTAGATATGCTGAGACAATGTGTAATACCCTCGTTGTATACATATATATATATATATATATATATATATATATATATATATATATATATATATATATATATATAAATATATATATATATATATATATAATATATATATAAATACCTTTTTAAGCGATATTTTTTGACTGGGATGAGAATAAATCATATTGTACTTGTCTTATGGACATAAGAAAACGCTCAAATCTTCATCTGAAGTCTAACTGGATTGCATCGAATTTCTCTCAATGAATTTTGGAGAAAATTATAATAGTAAGAATGCAATCGAAAAAATAAAACGTTTGTAATTTATGATCCGAAGTTTCTTGTTTGAAAATGGAAAATGTCTGGAATGAGGATTTTGTTGTTTTCTCCCAAGAAAGATCACCAGTTTGACAAGAGATTGGCTTTAATGAACTGCGTAAATATCAACGAATTAATCAAATTCTACCGGGAGAAGATTTAGTGACAGTAATTCACGCAATTTTAAAAGGCAAATAATGAACTCCGTTTGAGACAGTGTGTCAAATGAGATGCCGTCTCTCTGTTTCTATGTTAAAAAAATCATGTAAAAAGAATTCAGGGCGATGTTTTAACAACAAAAATGAAGAAAGGACAAATTTACAAAACTATATTCAATTAATTCTTTTTACTAAACAAAAATATTATCTTTCTCTTTCAATGAATTCTAAACTAGAGATTGTCAGCTGATCTCTCCTGTGATCTAGCTCTAACATGTCAGCAGAAGGCAAAACTGGTTAGTTACATTCAATCCCTCGAAAACTACTTACATCCCATCATCGACGGATCGGGCCGTCAATCACGATGAAGGGATGTTCCCTCAGGGAGAGGCCGTGACTTGAGCGGCTGTTGAAGCTGTAACTCAAGCCAGACCTCATGTTGAACTCACACATACGATCCATCGCTAAAGATGCCCCGCCCATCAAATGATCTGCTCTCTATACTGCTACATTTTACCGACAGTGAAAACTTTAAAATAGCAATGTCTTCAGCAGATATACGTTTTAGTGTAATGGATATCGGCTCGGAGTGAGAACTCGGAGAACCGAGTTCGAATTCCAGTCAAGTTCGTTTGATTCACTTACGCACAAAGACCCTTGAAATGTATGAATCCATCTGTTCTCTCCCCAGTTGTGGGTTGAATAGCAGGACACACTTGTTTTTTTTAGCTTAAGTCTAGGTACCATAGGGTATAGTTCATTTGAACTATTGCGAAGAAACTATTAGCATAGAACTTACGGTTACACCTAGCTATTTCAATGATGAGACCTTGCTGCCAATCTAGTACTGCGCTTAGATTCGTAAAATCGAGGTACCAAAGAGAAAATCTCACTCAAACAATTATCAGGAAAGTATTTAAGGCACTGTAGAATAATGCATAGCGGCTCGGCTTGAGAGTCGAATTTCGAATTGCAGTCGAGTTCCTTGCAATCAATTAAGTGCGTATACCTTTAGGAAATGTATCAATCCATGTCTTGAACTGCCAGCTATGGGTAAAATAGCAGCTTACACTGTGTCCTATATTCAACTTGTATAGGTGTAAAACAAAGACATTGTAGTTATTTTAAAATATTCATAATTCCCGAATTTTCTTCCATAATATCCTGTCTTTCGGGTCCTCTTTAAAATTCAAGGTTCTCTGTTTATGTCTGTCCGTAACTTATTCACATATTGTGAATATCTGCAGAATCGGTAAGGCAATCTTCATGTAACATAACTCTTTTGCGTGGGTAAACGTGAACAGAGCCGAACAGTATTAATTGCATTATATGAAGATTTTCTAAGCGTAGTTTAGATGTGACACAAGGCCAAAATTATGGGGCACCAAGTGAGGATCGGACTCAGTAATCCGTCGTAATTGTTCTAGAAAGACAAGCATTATACCACAATTTTTTTTAGCAAAATGTAAGTGTTGCCTAGGAGAGAGAGGATCAATAAGAAAACAACATAATCAAATTGTGCTTCCGGTTTCAATAAGATATGCATTATAAATGACATACCTGCACACAGTATTCCCTCGTTTTCTCTTACATATATACAGGTCTGTTGCATACTACCTCAAAACCTGAACCCACCGACTGGGAATGAGGTAAGCATGATTGAAGCCCCCAGGTAGTGCTTTATGAGACATATTAACTTATCAACTTAGCATTTTTCTATCTACATCTATATATTTTACGAAATAAACTAAGCAAAATTGACTATTAACGACAAATTCCCGCAGATTTTGACGTCATTTTGGGATCTTATTTTTAGATAGATAGATAGATAGATAGATAGATAGATAGATAGATAGATAGTGTTTGGAATTATTTAGATAGATAGATAGATAGATAGATAGATAGATAGATAGATAGATAGATAATGAAGGACTGGGAGAGATAGATAATGAAGGAATGGGATAGATAGATAGATAGATAGATAGATAGATAGATAGATAGATAGATAGATAGATAGAATGAACAGATGATAGGAACTTGCGTGTGGCGCTTGATAGTCGTAGAGATCTTGCAAGTAAGGAGACACCTAATTCACTGGGTGCCGCATCACAAATTCGAGCTGAAATGTACCCAAAAATAGAGTGACATGTCATAAAATAAATCCATCAAATAGACATATACCGTAATAGATAGATAGATAGATAGATAGATAGATGAATAGATAGATAGATAGATAGTGCTTGAAATTATTTAGGCAGATAGATAGATAGATAATCTTGGAAATTATTTTGAGATCTTTGATATGTTTATATATATATATATATATATATATATATATATATATATATGAAGAGATGATCGGAACTTGAGTGTGGTGCTTGATATTGCAAGTAACGAGACACCAAATTCACTGGGTGTCGCATAACAGATTCCAGCTGAAATGTTCCCAACAACGATTGACATATCATAAAATAAATCCATCAAATAGACATAGACACTATTGGACTTAGATAGATAGAAAGATAGATAGAAAATATTTGAAATTATTTCTAAATAATCATTACAAAACTAAGTATAACTGACTATAAAGGACTGAAAAATGCCGGCATATTTTGACGTCATTTTGTGGGCCTTTTTTTTAGCCAAAATGCATTTTAGGAATATCGGCTTCAAAATAAACGAGTAAGTGGCTCAATAAAGAAACGTGCTCGTTGTTTTATCACCCGGATTTATCAGTCAACTTTTTGACCTCTCCCCCGTGACTTCTTACCGTTATTGAAAAAGAGATTTCAAAATCTGTCTATATTTCTGAAATTACTTACATCATTCCGACTATTTCACACATCTTTATTGCCATATTTACTACGTTTCGGCCGTTGTACGCTCTGGCCTTCTTCAGGTGAGTGACCCAAGAAACACCAGTTCTACTGCGGCTGCAATAAGTATGGTACCCCTACGACCCCGATGTATTCGCGATCGCTATCCACTACTTTTATACGAGACAAATTTTGCCAAAGATGGAGAACTACTGTCATATACAGTATTTATTTATTAGTCTTAGACTCGAAATTATTTTCCATCCTACAATCACTTTCACACAGACGAAAAGTCGGAATTCTCTCGCTGGTCTATCGCTAATTTCATTGTAAGTGTTCAAACGAATTACATTCCTTAGTTCTACCAGTTCAAACCATGATGGGTAAGTCCCGCTATCCCATACAGATTATAATGAGTAACCTTAATTCCCGTCGTATTCCATTGGTGAGATGTAACTACCATTTGAGCAGCGGCTTTCTTCGAACCACCTCTTTGTGGAATCGATTCCCAAGTGGATGCATCACGATCACTATTTAAAGTATACAGTTAATCATTATCTTCCCGACTATCACCTTACTGTGCAGCCCTCTAACTCGAGTAGCTCTTGGGCTTTATAAAGAGTGAACATTTTTTTTTTTTAAAAATGTATAGGCACTTTAAAAGATCCACTAACAATAACCGTTTTATGATGCAAAGCTCAGAATAAAATGACAGAATAATAGCAGAACTAATCTCACACACTTTATCTTATCACGGGCTTTTCCATACTTTACGAATCATAGTTATACGTTCTTCTGCTATTTTTATACACGCTCTGATACAATTAGGAATATAAAAATCACATTTTTGTTCCAGTGTCTTTAACGAATACACCCCGTCCTTGTCCTAATTCTTCTACGCTTTCTATTTACCAGAATCCGGATACGCTTGTCTTTATGCTTCGTAAACTTGACAGTTCGAGTGCATTCGCATTTGTTTTCATCTGGTTTCTTAGGCAGTGCAGTGAAGATGGATTAATTAAGGCCTTCCGGTATCTCTCTACTGTCGTATAATTCGTTTATTATTACCGTAATATTATCGAACCCATAAATGGTTAAGGCTAATGGCAGCTTTGTTACAATTATTCTACACTTTCTATTTACCAGAATCCGGATACACTTGTCTTTATGCTTCGTAGACTTGACAGTCCGAGTGCGCTCGCATTTGTTTACGTCTGGTTTCTTAGGCAGTGCTGTGAAGATAGATTAATTAAGGCCTTCCGGTATCTCTCTACTGTCGTATAATTTATTAATATCAAACCCAAAATGTTTAAGGCAGCTTTGTTACAATCGACCACAAAATATTCATAAAACTTTTTGAAATGTCAGGTTTGATAATACTATTAATACAGTTATTTATAAATCAATTCGTTTTGAAATAGGTAATCAGCTGTTTATATATATATATATATATATATATATATATATATATATATATATATATATATATATATGGTTAAGTCTAATGGTAGCTTTGTTACAATCCATGCCAAAATATTCATAAAAAATTTTGAAGTGTCAGGTTTGATTATGCAAAGAGAAAGATCAGTTATTTATTTATAAATAAATTTATAAATAAATTCACAATTTATTAATCCAGTTATTTATAAGTCAATACATTTTGAAATACGTAATCAGCTGTTTATACACACACACACACACACACACACACACACATATATATATATATATATATATATATATATATATGTGTGTGTGTGTGTGTGTGTGTGTTTGTGTGTGTGTATATTACTATCAACTATGCACTCTAGGCTAGGAATTCAACATTTTAAGCATTTTAAGATAATAGTCGGATAAGAACATTTGTTTTTCTCTAGAGGGCTCAATTTACTATTAATTAACTTAGAAAACTAGACCACTATTATTTTTCATCATATATGTTTTTGTGAGTGACCACACAATACAAGGCCCAAGGGCCACTCTGGGTAGAGCGACATTCTACGGATTTGTAGTAGTGTCAGAAAAGGCAAGAATTGAAAATCTTGGGACTATGCAGGAAAGGTAACAGCTAATTCTAGACGAAGATGCCAAGATTTAATTAGGCAGTCGAAGTTTAGTTAGAATTGTAGAGACTTTGGAAGTAATCGGAAACCGAATTATAAATAGGAAACAAGGGATAAACCCCTACTCCTGTTCAAAGACCGAGGAAGTGCGTGAATCGGGCAATATATAAACCTATGTACTCCTATTAAAATGATGTAACATTGATATTAGTGATCTTGTGTGCTTAAATTATAAAAAGACAAAAAAATAATCTATTGTTTTCTACATCTTTGTGCCTCTCTATAAATTTTCTCATGTTTTCTGATATAGAATTAGACTGCGGTACGTGTTCTCAAACGCAGTTGTTGGGTGGTTGAGAGCAGTATGGATATTGTTAGTAAAAAAGTTCTTACTCACTGTATGCCTCATAAATTCTAGCTGAAATATTGATATGTCGTAAAATAAATTCATCAAATACACACATTAGCATACTTAGATAGATAGATAGATAGATAGATAGATAGATACATAGATAGATAGGTTTTGAAATTATTTAGTTAGATAAATAGATAGACAGACAGACTTCGATATTATTTAGATAGAGAAATAGATAGATAGTGAGATAATCTTCGAAATTATTTACACACACATATACACACACACACACACATATATATATATATATATATATATATATAGAGAGAGAGATAGATAGATAGATAGATAGGTTTTGAAATTATTTAGTTAGTTAGATAGATAAATAATAGATAGACAGACAGATTTCGATATTATTTAGATAGAGAAATAGATAGATAGTGAGATAATCTTCGAAATTATTTACATATATATATATATATGTATATATATATATATATATATATATATATATATAGATAGATAGATAGATAGATAGATAGATAGAATGAACAGATGATAGAAACTGGAGTGTGGTGCGTGATAGCATTATGGATATTGCTAGTAAGGAGATCCTAACTCATTGGGTGCGTCATAACAAATTCTAGCTGAAAGGTTGATATGTCGTAAAATATATCCAATATATATTTTAAATATTATTATATAAATTAAATATTAGCAAATATAGATAGATAGATACATAGATAGATAGAATTCAATATAATTTAGATAGGTAAATAGATAGATAGTGATATAATCTTCGAAATTATTTAGATAGATAGATGGTTAAATTATAATGAACAGGGGATAGGGACTTGAGTGTGGTGTTTGATAGCATTAGTGATATTGCTAGTAAGGAGATTCTTACTCACTGGGTGCCTCATAACAAATTCTAGGTAAAATGTCCCCCACAAAGATTGGCAGGTCATAAAGTAAATCCATCAAATAGACATATACAGTAGCAGACTTAAATAGATAGATAGACAGTGTTTGAAATTATTTGATAGATAGATAGATAGATAGATAGATAGATAGATAGATAGATTGTCTTCAAAATGATTTTGATAATCTTTGGTATTTTTGAGATAGATAGATAGATAGATAGATAGATAGATAGTGTTTGAAATTATTTATATGGATAGATATCTAAATAATTTCGATAGATGTTCTTTTTCATTATATTAATTCATCTCATTCTTGCCCCTCAAAATTACCCTCATAGGCCCCCGAACTTACCGACACCCACAAAAAAATGCCACGGTAGAAGACTGCCACTTCTCTTCCTCTGGGTTCTCCAATTCTTCTATAGACATTTTTTTATGAATAGCTGAATAGTTAGATATTACATAAAACATCCCGGTTCGAACACTAACAGCAAATTTACGGAAAACCCTCGCCCTATGAAGTAGTTGATATATTAGTTGATTTCTTAATTCGACAGTTGCAGTCAGTACGAGAAATCGAGAGCGGAATTTAGCGGTGGGGATTCGTCATTTAAGGGGTGGGAAAATGTTTAATTAAATCTTAAGATCCGAATGCCAACTTTTGTTGATATGAAGTGAGGGTTACTCGACCGCTGGCACAATTGTTAATCACCTTCCTCCGGGGCTGGATAAGTGATACACTGGGACAGTTGTTTGAGGCAGATGGCACTTCTGTGAACGACAAGATGGCCGGCCCGGCTTTGCATGGTCCGGACGAAGGGTAACTGTTCTGAAGAACAATGGACACTCGTTGAGGGTTCCTGCTTGGGGAGATTACGATTTGGAATTGGGCAGGTGTGATGTGGCCCAGGTTCGGTGAAAAGAATGTCGAGGGAATAGGAAATGATTTCAAGAGATTGAAACTTTAAACGAATGGCACACGCGCGTGCGCACCATCCACAGGCCCGTGTGCGAACGCGTACACACACACACACACACACACACACACACACACACACACACACACACACACATATATATATATATATATATATATATATATATATATATAATAAAAAGGCTTTAACACTAATATTCTATGGTATAATTTATTCCATTGGAAACGTAAATACAATCCAATTCATCAGACCTACAAATTCAATATATATATATATATATATATATATATAAAAAAATTTCAAATTAAAAAATAATAATGTTTTATTTTATGAAAGTATTTATTTAATTATATATATATTTGATATTTCAAATTGTCCTCAATCTTTCATCAGAAATAACTGTTTGTTACAAATAAATTAATCTCATAGCCATAACGTAATCTATTATTTATTCTGCAACTTATGTCCTAATAGTGGATATATTGGTGAGTCTGGAAATAATTTCGTTTCAATAACCATAAACAAACAATACGTCAAAACAACCCTTATTCCCCCATAGCTAAACACTTCAATCAATCAGGACACACATTAGAAAACTGCAAATGTTTATTGATAGATTCCGATTTTAGTTCCACATACACACGCAGAAAAAAGAAACATATTGGATTTTAAAATTAAATACACATAAACTAGGGTTGAATAGGGACTTGGGTGTTTTAAATCTTTATAAATATTTCAATAGTTAAACAATTTTTTTAGATATATTTAAAAAAAAAATTTAAACAACATTTAAAATATTTATGACAGTTAGATTTAAGAATAGGAATATCCGAACAGTGACGTTCCATATCACGTGACGTCCGCGTCTCGCGAAGGACGCTACTTGCTAACAAACAGTAATTTTAATTTATTTGTAACAAACAGTTATTTCTGATGAAAGATTGAGGACAATTTGAAATATCAAATATATATATAAATAAATAAATACTTTCATAAAATAAAACATTATTATTTTTTAATTTGAAACTTTTTTCTATATATACATATTAAGAAAGTATACGTATTTCTCATTATATATATATATATATATATATATATATATATATATATATATATATATATACAGAAAGTTATAGAAATAAAGGTGGAATACGGGTAAAGATTATAAAAAGGCAAAACAAAAACAAAATCTAATAGTGTGCGAGATGAGACGGATCTATTCTATAAAGCCACATCATATATGAGTGTATCAGAATACTTTTACAGACTTTGGGGCAGGTTCTTCTCAACAAAACAAGGCAAAATGGTCCCTGTAGAATGTTTTCTTCGTGGTCAGGCGAAAGAGCCGATATTGGTTTTGAATGCTGAATGACTCTGCTACATTCGATCAATGCTCAATATGATGCAGCCGTGCAGCCTCGCGTCCATTACTCTTCGTTCGGGGGTATGCATAAATAGTACCTGCTTGCTCCCGATATGAATACCCTGCCATTTTTAAATGGAATCCTTCTCAGTTAACTCACAACTAGACACGTCAAACATTGAAGACATACTAGCCACAAATATACACGAATGACAAATGTAGCCTAGTCTTCATGGCAACACAGCACCATCTACCGTAAACTTTCTTTAAACTTAACTAAAAAACGAAGGATTTGCGGACATGTTTATATGGACTTTTATCCTCGGTTTTGGTGTTAGGAACCCGCCCTAAATTTTGTAAATTTTCGTTAGGAGATCATTTGGCCTATAACTCCTGAGGATGCCAAAGATACTTAATTCGACTCTCAAGCCGATCCGCTATACTTTATTCTACATTGCTTTGAATACTTTCACGATAATTGTTTGAGCGAGCTTTCCTTTTTGGTACCTCGATTTTACTAATTTAAGCGCAGTACTAGATTGGCAGCAAGGTCTCATCATTGAAATAGCTAGGTGTAACCGTAAGTTCTATGCTAATAGTTTCTTCGCAATAGTTCAAATGAACTATACCCTATGGTACCTAGACTTATGCTAAAAAAAACAAGTGTGTCCTGCTATTCAACCCACAACTGGGGAGAGAACAGATGGATTCATACATTTCAAGGGTCTTTGTGCGTAAGTGAATCGAACGAACTTGACTGGAATTCGAACTCGGTTCTCCGAATTCCTACTCCGAGCCGATATCCATTACACCAAAACGAACGTCTGTTGAAGATATTGCTATTTTAAAGTTTTCACTGTCGTTAAAATGTAGCAGTATGGAGGGCAGATCGTTTGTTGGGCTGGGTATCTTTAGCGATGGATCGTATGTGTGAGTTCAACATGAGGTCTGGGTTGAGTTACAGCTTCAACACACGGCCTCTCCCTGGTCCTTTCTGCAGCTTCCGTCTCCCAGTTTTGATCGGATAGATTTCTGTCAACAACAAGGTATTTTTGGTTTCATCCTTGAATCGACGACGCGGAGTTCCACGTGGTCTCATGTCAGATGCGAGCCCCGAGAAGAGGATCTCTTTGGGTAGGCGGATGTCTCTCATTCGGGCAAGGTGTCTGGCCAATCGAAATCGGTGGCGAGGGATGATGATTTCTAGGCTCCCCATCGTTGCGCGGAGGAGAACAACGTTGTTTGTGATCCGGCACTTCCATGTGTTGCGCAGGAATTTGACGATTGTTCTTTTCATGAAATATTTCAAGTTTGTGGATGTTTTTTCGGTGGAGGACCCACGACTCAAAGCACGGTGGACCCTGCGCTTAGTGCTTTAATAACCCACGAATTCCGAAGACAGCTTTCACTGATACGTGGCGACCTGAATTCGTTTATGGACAGCTTCTCCAGAGTGTTCATGGGCGAAGGACTCACTATCAACATGGCGAAGATCTAGAACTTGCCCCAGCCACGACCGGGACGTTAACCATCACCTGGAGTCAAAATCACTAACAACAATTTGGATCCGGAGAATCTTGAACAATTTTCATAACTTGGTAGTGTACTAACATAAAATGCATCCCCTGGAAAAATACGTCGATAAACAAACCCATACAAACAGGCACACACACACACGCACGCACGCAAACGCGCGGGCACACACACACATATATTCTAAATGTCCTTAAAAAATTAATAAAAATTAATTTAAACACGAGAGATCTTAGTAAAAAAGATAGAATTAATTATATATTACACTAAATCTTCTGTATGTAATACAGTCATTCGTAATGACTCATTCTCGCGCACTAACGTGTTACAGAAAACCAACATTGTTTATAAATTTATATGTCCTCTGGGAGATTGTATTTTCAACGGTAAAAATAATA